AAAAAAAAAAAAAAAAAAAAAAAAATCGTAAATTGGTACCTGTTTTACCGATAATAGTACCACATTTTCTTATATGTTGTACAAGATCTTTATCAATTTGTACCTACTTTGTAGAAAGAACAAAAAATGAATTACTTCAATTTTGGTCAGTATTTTCCAAATTAGTACCAGACCTAGAGTAAGATAGTACCGACAATTATGGTGTTCTAGTACCAAATATTGGGTCTTCAGTACCAACTCTGATGAACAAAAAATATCGATTTTCATAAATTGGTACCAGTTTTACCTATAATAGTACGACATTTTCTCATATGAAGTACCAGTTCGTGATCAATTAGTACTTACTTTGTAAAAAGGAATTAAAAAGTGATTACTTCAATTTTGGTCAATATCTTCGTTGACCAAAGTAGATACTAATTTATTAAAAAGGGGTACTGATTAGAAGGAAAGTGGTACTACTACGAATAGAAACTGGTATCAGTTTAAAATTTAAAAACACAACTTCCTTAAAATTGAACAAACTAACGTAATTCATATAAACATATGTCGACTTTCTTTAATACGATCATAATCTATATAAACATATGTCGACTTTCATAATGAGTACTTTCATAATTAACTAAACTAGTACTAATTTATACTCATTTATATGCCGAATAGAAACCAGTAATAATTCATACGACCGTTTATATTGAAATTATATTCCTTTTAGTGTTTTAAAATGTTTATAACATAATTCGTCGCGGCTTGGCTCTTATACTACGCAACGTAAATAGAAATTCGTGTTGCATAAACTATTAGAGTATAAAAGTTTGTTTGTTAGAAATATCAAAATATTTGCATAAAATAAAATTGGGTTGTAAATTTAAAAAATATATATTTTTTAATAATATTATATGACACTAAATTTTAGAATAAGATAATGGTTGAGTATTATGATAATAAAATGAGAGCGTTTTTATTTTGGCATGAAATGTCCGAATTTAAATGGTATGAATTTCATTTGGTATAGATAGAAATGTATTTAATTTTGAAAATAAAATAAGTGGTATGAATTTTATTTTGTATGGGTATGAAAGTGGAATTATAGATTAATTTGTTATAAAATTAAGGTGACATAATTCTCATTTTTTAGCATATTCCTATAATAAATTGTCATAAGATATTAATAATAATTTTATAAATCTCCAATATATAATTTACGAATGCGCAGAGCCTAAGTGGCAGGCTCATATGCTTCAGAAGGTTATTTGACATAATTATATGTTTTGTATTGACACATGTACATGTTCAATTTTAGCCTTGAGAATTACCATAAACTATTTGAGTTTTTTTTTTTTTTTTAAGTTACCATATACTACTCTTACTTTTTTTTATTTAATTCATATAATAATTGTTAAAATAAATATGTATTATTTTTATATCTCAAAATAACCATATTTTAACGATATTCGGTTTGACATCCATATTGCATATGTAAAATAAAAAGTAATTGCATATATCATTATAAATAAAACTAAATTTATTAAAAAAATAATTTCAAAAATATGAATGCAACATAAATTATTTTATAACAAATATAATGAAAATATAATTCAATAATACACCATAAAATAATCATGTAATCCGTTTTTCATAGATTTTAAATAAAATATAAAAATTAAGTGCAAAAATACGGGCCCCATTTTTTATTAGTTACTACTTTGTTAGTTATTCATTATTTTTTATATTAATTATACATAATTTTACAATATAAAAATAAATTATTTTTAGTTTTTCTATTGTACAAATATTAATATATTTACGTGCCCGTGTAGTACACGAGTATCGTACTAGTTGATATATATTCTTCTTGAAAATTAAATAGATCTTTGAATAAATATTTTTCAATAAAATTTAAAATTTATAATTTAATTTTAGAGAATTAGTTAATAAATTTGAACGACATCGTAACATACGAAAAACCTTAAAAATCGTGAGATTAGCATAATATAGATTTATATGAAATAAAGATTAGTAAAATATAATTATTTTTATTTGGATAGTTTATACAAAAATAAATTTATATTAATTAATGAAAAAAGATATAAGCTTTAATATTATACTTATTTTTCACATATATTTTTTACATATATGATAAAAATTTTACTAAAATATTTGTTTTATGGAACCACATTGTATTCAAATTGAATTTTTAAATAAAAATTTTAAAATGACACTTATTTTGAAATGAAATAAAGAAACTTATTATCATTTATGTACACCGTAGGAGTAGTGTACTAATATTAAATAGACATATTTTATATAAATTTGCACAATTTAAATTTTAAATATTATTTTGAATAAATTAATATAGGGGGCGTATTACATATTAATTTCAAATTTTTAATTTAAAAATAATATTAGTGAGAATTTTTAATCAATAAATATTAATGAATATCTATTACATGCGCATCACACTAGATTCATACTAGTAGTTTTAATGAATTTAAATAGGACACTACCCGTGTTGTAGTAACCCAGTACTTATATAATGTCATTTAGTATCGACTTATACGAACGAAAACGAATATATACTATAAATATTTGTTTACAAAAATGATACCTATAATGTAGTAGGGCAATACCAATGTAGTTGTAACTTAGTACTTATATATTGTGGGGAAGGAAATGAAATGAAAAATAATAATAATAACAATAATAATAATAATAATAATAATAATAATAATAATAATAATAATAATAATAATAATAATAATAATAATAATAATAATAATAATAAAAACTTAAGAACAATTAGTATAAGGAGAGATAAATAGTAGAAGATGACAAAAAAAATAATAAAAAAATGTGTGGAAAGAGAGAAAAAAATAATAAAAAATTAAGAAATGTAGTAATGGAGAAAGAGAGAGAGAGAGAGAGAGAGAGAGAGAGAGAGAGAGAGAGAGAGAGAGAGAGAGAGAGAGAGAAAAAATAAAATATCATGTAAAGTTGAGTACGTAGTGGAGTGATGTAATTTGTTAATTTGCTTTTTTTTTTTTTTTTTAATAAGAGGAATTAAGTGGAAGTTTATTTTGGGGGTTAGGTAGTGGGTGGGAAAAAATTAAAATAGAGACTAAATGAGAAGATGAAAAAATATCGGAGATTTTAGTAGAAGTCACCCTTGAACTAAAGGTATATTTGGTTAAGGGAAGAAGATGTTAATCTCGTGTCTTGTTTAGCTGAAAAAATAGCTATAAATAGACTACTTTTCAGTAGCTATATATAGACTACTTTTCACTAGTAAAACTAATCGAATCAGTATGAGATTGGAAAAGATTGCATGATACCGCAAACCTAATACTGATATATTTCAATAACATTTCTTAATATCATAAATTTCGGAATTCGGCTGAGATGGTGACTGCATGTAGAGCTGTTAATGAACACAGCTAAACGGACCCAGGTCGCTACCAACGAACCCAAGTTGAAGTTCATCTGCTTGATTAGATGAGTCGAGCTCAACACAATAAAAACTCAAGTCCAAACTCATTGAGAGATCTAGCCTCAGCTTCCTTATACACCACTGAGTTTTTACCTTCATTCTATGTTCTCTCGTAATATATATGAACAAATTGAATCAAAACTATATCAACAAACGCTAGCAATAATTTAAATAGAATGTTTGGAGAAACTAGCGATCACTTAAAGATTCAGATAAAGTAGAGTTAAACTATTGCTTAAAACTTGTTCCAGCAAAACCACAATCTCATAAGAAGCCAACCATCAAGGTCAAGGATAATTTCAGCACCAACACAATTTCAGTTTAAACTACAAATTGTTCGGTAAACATAAAACGGGAACAACAAAATCCGCAACATAAAGATGATTGGGCCCAAACCACAACCACTGAACGAATATACTGGCAAGAAGGCTGATTTACAGCCTCCTTCCCCTTCTACCACCCTTTCTACGGGTGCTGTCGGTTGGAATTGGGGTCACATCCTCTGTAAAGAAGGGAAAAAAACATAAAAAAAAATCAGGAAAATATAATTCATTGCGCAAAAGGAGATTTTTCACATTTTACGAGATATTCAAGAAATCAAAATGGATCCATATACCTATCCTTCCAATCTTCATTCCCGAACGAGCAAGGGCTCTGAGAGCAGACTGGGCACCAGGGCCAGGAGTCTTGGTCTTGTTGCCACCAGTGGCACGGAGCTTAATGTGAAGAGCAGTGATACCAAGTTCCTGATATAATTCAATGTATCAGTCAGATTATATACACAATTTCTGCAAATTAGTGTTGGTATATGCGTAAAAATGGACAAATTTTTAAGAGAAAAAAATGACCTTGCATCTCTGAGAAACATCCTGTGCAGCAAGCATAGCCGCATATGGAGAGGATTCATCTCTGTCGGCCTTCACCTTCATTCCACCTAAAATCTCGAGAAAAATAGGTTTAGTCAAAACCATTTCAGCACGTACCAAAGTGATCGGCCCAAGTAGCACTGTAGCATTTGAAGACTCCCACATATGGACGGGAAGTAATAAAAGATCCAGATATTATAAGACCAACGTACAGTGAAATCCCAAACAAGAAAGGGTGTGATGGAAACTTAAACAAGAAATCAAAATCTCCCGTATATAGAAAGCGTGAACTCCACTAACTGAATGATAGGAGGGATTAAAGTAGATTATGGTGAGAATCTGATAGCAAAAACCACACTTCAAGCTATCAGTTTATCTTTTTTGCATAAGAATCTCTGTTTTTCAAAATCTAATCCAAAAGAAATCTCATGAAAACAGGAACACATGCAATCCACCTCAACCTCATCCCTAAATCTGAAAATATAGTTTAGAACTAATAACTGGAAACCAACGGTTAATAACTCTCCAGGTGTTGTAGTATTACAGAGGACCACGCATCACATTGTCATCAAATCAATCTCTAGGGTTCACACATATGGCAAACACAACTTTCTAGGAGACAACACACTTAATAGATTTTGACGAAGTTCAACACAAACTTACAATGTAAAAACAAAGTATAAAAAGAAACTATGGAAAATGAAACACATATGCAAGGTAAACTACAATCATATAAGTTAAACCACATATTAATACCTGTAATGCGGACCATGGTTTCCCTTCCAGACAAGTCAGTAACATGCTGCAACAAACAACCAAAAAAAAAAAAGCATTTCAATAAGTTCTAAACTTTCATTGACATACATGGAATCTTGAATTACAAACTCATATACTCACAATGAATGTATCATTGAAGGAAGCAAATATGTGGGCAACACCAAACACTAGCTCGCCCTCCCTAGTGGCAGGCCCTAGGGTAACATTCTCTTCCTTGGGTTCCCTTGTTCTTCTCTTCGACTAGAACATACATGTTGAAATAAAAGATTACATAAATGAAACAAAATAGGAATAAGAAACGGAAAATGATAGACAAAATTAGATCATGGACCCTGCTTAAACATGATGTACACAAAAAAAAAAAGTATCACAATCAAGCACATAATGTTGAATGAGTGAATAATATGAGCAACCATTATTCTACAAAATCAGAACGGACCAGTCAATACCACAACTACAACTGTATGAGGCCAGCTTATTAATATTCTACACATCCATTACATTCTATTAATTTTTCATCCTAAAAACTTCGAATAAATCGTAATACATGGAGACACAGGTAGGAGAGCCCAATTGACAAGAACAAAGCACACAAAAATTGTATCGAAAATAAAACGCAGCACAAAATAACAAAAACACATACATAAGAGTTAAGCTACATTGACCAGCTTAACATTACACATCTCCATTACACAAATTTTCTATCCCTAAAAGCTTCGAATAAATCACAATCCACAGAGACGTATGTAGAAAAATCCATTCAATAAGATCAAACAACACACAATCCGCATCGAATATAAAAAAACATACTCATCAGAGTTAAGCTACCCTAAGTGACTCAGGTTAACATCATACATTTCCATCACACCAATTTTTCATCCGTAAGAACGTCGAATAGATCATAAACCCACGATCAAACAACACACAATCCGCATCGAAAAATATAAAAAAACCCATATACATTTATCAGACCTAAGCTAGAACTATCAACACGTATAATCATTAACCATTTGCAAATGATGGACATATAATTTCAGATCAATACCATGGCTATGAGCGATTGAGAGAGCAAAATGAACTCAGCTGCCACTGGACTGGAAAAACCCTAATGCACGGAGATTTTGGTGGAGAGAAGCTGATGAGGAGAGTGTGATGATTAAGCTCAGGTATTTATAGCTAGGGTTCAGAACGCTGCGATAATTTTGAAATACCAGAAATGCCCTGGACTATTGAATATACGAAAAATTGTTGTGTAGAACCAATTTACATTATCTGCCAAGGCCCAAGGATGATCCATTTTCTGGCCCAAACCACTCCATAAGGAAAAAAGAAATAGGGGAAATTTTTGTCTATCCTATAAGATATAAAAGTATTTTTAATTTTACTTTAATTTAAAAGTATTTTCAACAGAGATTGCATTTAAATCAGTTGTCTTGTAACGTGCATGAAATCCGCGACTAGAAAAAAAAATAAAAATAAAAATAAATAACTGATTCAGTTATTATTTCATTAATTCACGCAACTTGTACATTGTAGTTCAAAACAGCAGCCAGGTAGTATATTTTGAGTTTATGTTAGTATATATTCACTGTATGTTGCAATATTATAATTCACATAGCCGCCAGGTGGTATATTTTGAGTTTATGTTAGTACATATTCAGTATATGTGCAATAAAAAACAAGTATTCCACAAAAAGATTATATCATTTTTTTTTTTTTTACTTTTATACATAAAAGTATATAGAAACACCAAAAAATTCGAAATTTTTGGAGGGAATTATTACCTGACATATACCAAAAATATACTTCAAATATACTAAAAATGTGTAACAGGTGCAGAAAGCCAGTGACAAAAGTGTATAGCATAGAAAGAGAAAATATACTTCGGATAGAGAGAAAAGTTACCTCGGATATACCCATCAGATAACCTGAGAAAAAGTTACTTCGGATATACTCGGATATACCCAACGTATAACACAAGAAAAAAAAGAATTATTAAACAGATAACCAGAGAAAAGTTACTTCGGATATACTCGGATATACCCAACATATACCCAACTCGGTTTTGTAAATATACCTTCGAATTATAATCAAATCATATAAGAAAAAAAAAAAGGAAAGAAAAAGAAGGGGCAAATTCTAGGGAACACGAGACGGATTCTTCTTGTCATCCACTCAAGCAGGAGGGTAAACTCGTCGGTGCTGCGCGAACTAGGAATCGTCGGAGGAGGGTCGCGTCGGGGGTGGCTGTTCGCTGGCGGAGGGCGATTGAAATTCGGTCACGGGCCTGGTATCTCTTGAATAGAGGCGACGATGGTGACTGAGGAACCGCCGGGAAGCTTCGTGGAGGTGCTGCAAACTTGGTGATGGTGCGATTGAGAGACTGATGATTGTTGCTGGTGCGCGATGCGGGAGAGAAAAAAGAACGAGGAGAAAGTTTACGTTTTAGGGTCTGCGGGGAATCTGATGATATCAATATCTGTTGCGTGGAATTAGAATGTTGTTGAGGGGTTTTAATCCCAATTAAATACATGTAACTAGGTTAAATCACTTTTTTAGGTATAACTGAAAATCTTTTATGTGGTTTAGGTGATTTTAAAAAAGAAAATAAAGAGGGTGCAAAAGTGTTGAATATTTTAAGCATAACAGTAGGGCATGCAATTTCCTCAATAAATAAATGGTACTTTTACAAGTTTACAAAATCCTAAAATTATTTGCACGTGTAGGAAAATAGAGAAAAATAATTTGATAACTGCTAGATACTAAAACACGCATTCGTAAATAGTTTCCCGACTCAAATGCCGCCGAAGAGGTGGTCGGAGAGGTTGACAGTGTTAGAGGTATGCTGTAAAAGTTCTATTTTGTAGACTCTAGTAATTCCATTTTAATCTGGCAATCATTTTTGGTCAAAGTACATATGCTTGCAGTTTATTTATTTATGCAATCATACTTCTTGTCTTACATTGAGATAATATGGTTCGTGGTGTCTCGAACATAAAATCATCCATTGGTTCCTTGTAAGACTAAACTATTCGTTCACAATCTAGACAGACAGTGAGACCCCTCTTGGAAAAAGACTGCAATGTATTCTTGATTCAGTTTGTCTTTGACTGGAGAACTACAATAGTACTCATGATAAGTATGGAACAGGACCGCAGAAGGATAAGATTATGAGACTCACTGATCGTTGTTGTAATTTAGACCTTCAGCAATTGATGCGTACTCTTAAGATGTAAGATAATATAAAACAGGCATATGTATTCATTACTTGTTTATTTGATTTACCAACGGTTATTCCTATTCTGCTATGATGACATACTCAGTACTTTGGTAAATGAGAGTGTTTATATGATGCGCTATTATAAATTATTTGCGATCACTATGTCCCAGTGCGTTGGGTTGATGACGTCCCCGAAATGAGCTCAGGAATGAATATTATGTCAAGCCCTGCAGGCGGATGTGTATCCGACATTATGATTAATGTTCTGAGTGGTACTAGTTTCAGAAATGAATAAGAAGTTGATTAATTATTTTATCAGTAATTTAATTAATCAACGGACGTTATATCTTAAACATGTGGAGATAAATTGATCAATTAGATTAATATTTATTAATCAAGTGGAGGTTCGAATTTATTAAATAAATTGGAGATAAATGGAGAGAGTAATAATATTACTGTAGTAGAATGTATTATTATTTAATTCTATTTAGAAAATTTGGAATTAATTATATTTCATATTTTGGATTCCATTTGGAGGGGAATATTCCTTCTAGAATACTACCTATAGTTAGGAGACTATGGAGTCTTCTAGAAGGTAATAAAGGTTATGAGGAATAGGACTCCTAGATGGGATAAGATATGGAGCATAATTAGGATTTATAAGCCTAACTGGATAAGCCCATATTTAGCACCTCCTTAAGGTCCCTAATGTAGCCTATAAATACACCATGTCCCAACCTCTCCCGCTTATGCGTGTGACTCGATTTATGGTTCCTATTTGGAAGAGAAAAATCGTGTTCTCCATATATTTGAGAGTTGGGAGTGAGTTAGGGAGTTTCGATTAACCGTCCACCAAGATTATTCAAAGTAGGTGTAAAAGTAATACATTAGAAGGCTTTTGGGTACAATATATTCGAGCCTTTTAATATATATAATTTTTCTGGCAACCCCACGATCACCGGCACACTGGCCGGAGCTCAGTCGACGTCTTGCAAGTCCCTGGAAACCACCAACTCGCGGCCAGGCCGTTCCAGTTCGCGCCCAGGCCTTGTAGCTGTTATCAGCCTCGTAACCTAGCATGTGTCCATGCACAAGCCCGCGTCGCGAAGACCAACAAGGAGAAGCTCGTCCTCGTGAAGTCCAGCATCCAGGCGTGGAGTCCAGGTAGTAAGCGACCCAACTTGTGCGAAGGGCCAATCCGCGAAGCAGCCGAGTAGAAGGAGAGAAAAAGCGCGCGGGCCGTAGCAGCCCGCGCGGCCCGCGTATGAGCTCGAGAAAGAGAAAAAATGCGTGGGCTGAGCGGCCCACGTTTCAGCCCATGCGCGGCCCGCAAAAGCCCATGTCCCAGCCCCCACGCGGCCCAGTGCGCCGTCCTTGAGCCCAGTGAGCGTTCAGTGGCACCTGGCGGCCCATAATTCACTCCAGCGTACGTCTAAGCGGCCCAGAACGTCCAGCGGGTCCATGAAGTAGCAGACTGGTGCAGCTCAAGTCCAGAGGCTACCAGGCGGTCCATGGGCGGTTCAACTCAGTCTAGAAGTCCCAGTTCATGTTCCTGATTGTTCCCGAGCAGTCCGAATGGTCCGATTAACTTACAGAAGGTTTGAGACGATCTTACGAGCAACCGGAGCACTCCAATGACTCGATCAGAATCGAGAAAGGCCAAGTCTGGCTGCCCATCGGACTTTGGTGTTCAGATGATCTCCATCAACGAAAATTAGAAACGTCTTTGAGTCGGCAAAAATTTTAAACCGTAAGTCCTAATATTAACTATAGATTCCACTGCGTTAGGATTTATTATTCAATAGATTTGAATGTGCACATTTTCGACGTTCCTAATAGAACCCAACAGGCAGATGGTGTCCGATTAGGGTAGCTGAGCCGGTGAAAGTAAGACTTGAGCCTATCCAGACAGCGGTTCTCTCGCCCTACTTGCAGCCGACAAGTTTGGCAGAGGCAGGTGGAGGGAGGAAGGGATGACAATGTTTAGGTAGAAATTGACGGTGGGGGATAGATGTAGTCGAAGAAGATGGCTGCAATGAGGAGGAGATAGAGAGATAGCCGATAAATTTCACTGGCCAAAGAATATTTTCAGTATTCGTTGCGTTTATAGTCAATATATTTTTAGTGTATTGTTTCATTTTATTCAAGAACATTGATCATACCACAATTGTGATGTTTGGATTTTATGTATTTTTCTGCTTATTTTTTTATGTCAACAATCTATATAACATTGACATGTAATAACTTTGTAAGTGCTTTTTAGGATGTTAATATATATAGAGGAATGGGTTCCGGTGAGAATAAGTCTGAGTGAATGAAATAAGAATATATTTCATCCACTAAATAAGTTAGATCAGACGGACACTAATAAACGAATAAATTAATAATGTGAGGATGTTTTGGACATTTGAAAATCAAAGAAAACAGGGCATAGGATCACAAAATCCTCCATTGACAAATTCATTGCGGCAATCACCTCTCCCATTCAACTCTGATGCACATGCCTTGAACATGCTGCTGGCGCCGAGCCTACCAGCTCTCAAGATTCTATGATTAATCGCGTTTAGGCAGAAAGGCGACAACTTATAGTTCTGATTCAATTTCGTGATTTGCCAAGATAAATTAATTGTGCGCCTTCGCGCTCATCCTCGTCGTGTTCCTCCTGGTGGGGAAGACCTCGACACTAGCCATGAACGTCAACAACGTGGTCAAGGATTGGCTACTGATCGAATTCTCATGGTCTGTGATCAAGGACACGGTGATGCCGCTGAATTTATTTGGATACGGAATGGCCTTCATGGGCGTTGAGTATTGCGAAGAAGATATTG